TCATCGGGTACCATAAGCCCGGACCAGGTGAATGAAACGCCTTCACCTGCTATCAAAGTAGATCTTCAAGAATTAATAGCCCAGCTATTCAAGATCTAAGACGAGCGAAATTATCGCTATCGTTACGAAGGTAGGGTTTATAAGTCATGTCGCCATTACCGCCGCCATAGTCGTAGTTATCGTTATCGTTATTTAAATATATCGAATTTAAATTTATTCGACTCTAAATCGGATTAAGAGGAAAGAAGAGGGGTTTTTTTTCGTTATATGAAAGGTAAGAAATCCTTTCTTAGTATTATTAAAAGGTTTCGAAGTATAAACGTTAAGTACTTTAAGTAAATCTTCTTCGAAACCTTTAAGACTAAAAATTTCGTTAAACTAGTCTATATATATACTATCTCGATTAAAGAGAATAAGAATATTAATAGCTATAATTATATAATATATTACTTTTATATATACTCGATAGCCGTTAGCCGCTTTATCTATATAAGCGTAAAGAAAGACTTAAATAAGGCTTTATATACGTATACTATTCGCCTATTACGACTATCTATCATCTATAGATTTAACTTTATCCTCGCTTATTACCTCGCTTTTATTACTATATATATTTAGAATAATTAAGATAATCTTAAGATCTAGAAAGCGAACGATTAGAGCTATAAAGATCTTCTTATATCTAAAGAAACTTATACGAGTAATAGTAAGCTAAATATCGTTACGCCTAGCTTTAATAAGCCCGTTACCGTCGAAGAAACTAGAATTTATAAGAATTTTAATAGAGGTAGCTATTTTCGCGAGCGCTATATCTACTTATATATCTATATAATCTATTAATAAAATTATTTATTAGATAAGTACTCTAAGGCCTTAAACTTAGCTATAAGTAGCTTTAATTATTTACTATTAGATAATCGTATTATTAAGACTAGAATAACTCTTAGAGTACTCGTAGATATTATAATCGCTATAGTATATATCTAAGAAGTTTCTATACGCGCTATATAACTTACTAGACCCGGATTTACTCTATTAGAGATCGTTAATAGTTAATAATTAATTTAAATAATTAAACGATTACTCGAATCTAATATTTACTAAGATTATTTCGACTATTCTTCGAAAGAGCGTTAAGATAGATTTTCGAGGCTATATTTTAGTCTATCGTAATTAAAATCATTTATTAGCACGTTAAATATTTTAAATACTATCGACGAACCTTTAAAAATAGCTTTAATAATATTATCTAATCGAGGTTAACTCTTAAAACGAGCCCTACTACGTCTATTCGCTACTCGATTTAATATCGAAATATGATAAAGATTAAAGACGAATTTATAATCTCTTATTTTTATACGGCTACTTAGTTAATAATAATATTTAGGCGAAGTAGAGCGTATTAAAATATATTATATACGATAACGTAGTAATAATATTACTATAGAAAGGCCTAAGGGTTTAATTCGTTAAAAGAGACCTTAAAGACGCCTTTAGATATATACTCGTCGCTATATCGAATTAATAACTACTTAGTTTTAATTACGATAAACGCTATTAAAAAGAATAATATCTATTATTTAAACTATATATATTATTATTTCTATTTAATCTCTTTATAAAGGCCCTTACTTAGATCTTAATTACGATTCTTCTATAGAAAATAGTACTTTACTATCTAAACGATTTCTTTATAATTCTTTTATTAGAAAATAACGCAGCTATATACGCCTAGTAGTTCGACTAGCTATATAGCGAATTAAGTCTTTAAATTAATTATATAAAGAATATTATAAATTTTATAGTCGAGTTTCTAGAAATCGAATTCGATAGTATTTATATATAGGCGAGATTTCTCTTAAATAAGCTAGTTAAAACGAGAATTACGATTAAAAACCTTCTAAAAAGAGTAATTATCTTATATTAGAAGCTCGAGTTAGCGATTAACTTTCTCTCTTTCGCTATTAAAGTCGTAATTCTAAAAAGAGTATTCTTAAGACGACTTTTTAATGCCTTTCGAAGGTCTACGGTAATTATACGAATTATAGACGATATAAGAGTAGACTTACTATAGTGAAATATCTTTTTAAAGTACTAAAATAGCGTCGCCTTAATACGCTACGTCGATAGTCGAGTTACGTAATATATATAAATCGATATATCTAGAAAATTCGATATAGAAGGCTATATTCTCGACTATCTTAATTATATTTAATCGATTTAACTTAAAAACGTTTTTAGTATTAAAATAGCTATATGTTATCGTTTTAAAGATATATAATTTAAAGAAATAAAGGTCGTTTATTACGCGATAGAGCTATAGCTATATTAGTTACGAGAATCTCGCTTAATTCTCTACTACGATAATAACGTATACGTTAATAAATTACGTAAATCCTCTATATACGAGCTAGCTATAGCCTTATTACGCGATATAGCTATACTAATAGCTACTTATAATATTATAATAATATTTATTTAAATATCTACGAAGGCTAATTAGCTAGTCGATAATCTATTATATTTTCGATATCGAAAAATCGCTAACGTATATTTATAGCTGAAAGATCTTATATCTCCGCTGAAATAGGGCGAGACCTACTAGAATATTAGTATAATTAGATCGTACTATCTCGAGAGACTA